TTATCAAATTAGAAAAAAATAATACATAACATAATAGGTAGAAGAAATAATTAAAAGATTACCGTCAGATAATGACGTGCGGACAATTTTTATCGATATAAAATTAGATCGCTATGTACCACCCAGGCAGACAAAACTTTCGAAAAACGCGTTTAAACGCACAATCGGAAACCGCGACTGTGATCCATTCACGCTCATTAAAAAAACGCAAGAAACGACGTTTTTTGTACAAAATAGTCACTTTTCAAGCGTGAAAACGGTGGAAAACTTAAATTTCTAGTGTTAAAACGTTCTCTTTTTCTAGATTTAAAAAACGACGTGTTTAAACGCTCAGTTTTTTATATTTTTGCCGTTTTCACGCTTGAAAATTGACTATTTTGCACAAAAAACGTCGTTTCTTGCGTTTTTTTAATGCGCGTGAATGGATCACAGTCGCGGTTCCCGATTGTGCGTTTAAACGCGTTTTTTGAAATTGTTGTCTGCTTGGGCAATACTATTAAATTGTGTCACTATTTATGAACTCTTCAAAACTTTACATCTTCTTTTTTCCCTCAACGTGCAACATTCAAAAATCATTTAGATCATGCCATGCACGCTTGCCTGTTTACAAGAAATTTAAAAAAATAACTTTTTCCAAACATTTCGATTCTTATCGTATGAAAGACATTAATTGTTCAATTCATCTAGCGTGTCAGTTGGCAGTTGCATGTTAGCCTTTTGTGAACTATTAACCACTGCCATCTCATAGCTGGGTGGCAAATCTTCTCTAAATGGTGGTGGCGGCGATTGACCTCGAAATGATGTTCGAGACTGAGTAATCGCAAAAGGTTGAACATTCGTTGGCATGTCGGATACTCGATGTGAATTCTTGGTGTTTATGATAATACACACGACACAACAAATAATAATAAACATGGGAGCCAAGATGACTATAAGAATAACGGCCAATGTAGGCAACTGACTACTCACACACGTCCCAAATGAACTGCCGCAAGTGTCCACTTCTTTCAAATTAAATTTTTTGAATTAACATAGACGCATTGAAATATAATGTCGAACTTACTTGAACAGCACCATTTGAAAGAATAGATAGAGCCGCAAGAAATGCCTAAAGGGACAAAAGTATTTCATTTTTATATCTTGAATGAAAGAACGATCTATACCAGGCTTGCCATTATATATGCATGAACCACCAGTAGCTTCAACAAATGCTACTAGAATAAACGCTGCAAGTGTGAGAACAGACATACTGTCTCGTAATTTCTTTCTCTTGTGTTTGTCACATGTTGTAGATAAAGAAAGAATGCAACTGATAACAATCAAAGTAGTATTGACAATGATACATTGCCTTTTGAGACATGAATAAACTTCGATAGAAGTTTTTCGTCTTCTGTTTTGTCACGTAAATAAAATGGTCGATTTTCTCTTTTGCATGTATGCAAATCAATGTACATAGGAATATTCCATGAATATTATTTAATTCTTTTTGCAAAAACGAATTTCCTCATAAGCCGAGTATATATACATATACGTCATGCAATTATGCTTAATACAAGCTGAACATTGAGATGAAATGTTACAATTGGAAATTTTCAAAAACTATCTAAAATGTTTTTATAAACGCCAAAATAGTTCAATAGATGAATTAATGATAATTGCTTATAAAATTAATTGTATTTGAAACGTTTTCTACATGAAAATTCAGAAGTTAATGCTTGTATGTAGACGCTAGGTGTGAATGCGCAAGATAGAAAAAGAATAGACTCGAATCCCTACCTCTTACGATGAATTGCATCTATGGTGATGCATACGTGTACAGTTGCGTGACAATGCCGAAGAGAACTACTCAGGCAGACAGAAAAATGGAAAAACGCGTATAAACGCGCAGAACTTTTCGACCGTGTCTGGCTGACAATCGAGATTTCCGGCTGTGTGTCAGTAACCACCAATATAAGTGGGCGTAAAACGGGCACTTTTGCGCGCTGAATAAAATTTAAGTATGTTCACTGCGCTAAGATATGATCATTTTCACAATCACTTCCTCTAAACATTAACGACTCACAATCGGGAACCACGATTGGAAATCGGTCACTGTCAGAAAAACTGGACGTCAAGACGATCTTGTTTTTTCACTATGGTGAAAATATTTAATATTTAAACGGTTCATTTTATGAAATAGATTAGGATTTAGTTTTCATTCCTGTTTTAGACCCACAGTCGGAAACCGCGATTCACAACCAGTCACGATCAGAGAAAATGGACGTTAACATGACCCTTTTTTCCACTATGTTGAAAATGCTTAACGTTTAAATGACACGTTCTTTGAAACAATTTCACATTTACTATTTCCTCCAGTTTCTGACTCACAGTCGGAAACCGCGATTAACAACCTGTTATGATCAGAAAAATTGGACGTTAACATTATCCTTTTTAAACTATGCTAAGAGTCTGTAACGTTTAGACACTCCGCTTTTTGAAACCTGTTCACATTTACTACTCCTTATCGATTTCAACTCATAGGTGGAACTCGTGATGAATAGCCGCAATCAGTTACCTTTCTACAGCGTTACAACGTAAATAATAGTATGTTTTAAGACTTTTTCGGGTCGCAGAAATCTATGCATACTACCATGTGTGTGTTCGACTGTTTCGATCTCATAAAACATAAGCTACTGCATATCATGAAATGAGGGTGTGGGTATGTTTGGGTGTGCGTGCCCCACTTTTCTTTGCCCACATTCACATTCACACCCGCATTTGTTTATATCTGATTCACACCTAAATCTATTAAGATCGTTGAATTTAAAAGCATTTAGTAACTCATCTACCTCAAAAAGACAACCTTTGGCACCATCACCGATACGATGATATAGAATATACTTTAAAGAAAGGTTGCAGTGAAAGTAAGATAATTTTTCTATATGATGTGTGTCGGTATTAGTTGAATATGATCGCTTCGCCAAATTTGTGTAATAATCTCAAGCTTTCATCAAATCTTTCCTAGTCTGTAATGATGAGATATTAGCCATTTTGGAAGATTTTCAACCGGTAATTATTTTAATAATGACTATATCAGAGAATAATGCAGGACATTTTTTTTGTCTAGAAACATGCGAAGTCAAGTGCAGCATTCTTTTCAAACTCAACTATCAATCGATTGGCTAAGTAGAGAAATTGGAAAACCCAAATATATTTGATTGCTGGGTTATCACAAGTCATTCCTACGAGCGATGTTGTGTCATGGACTCACAGTGTTTGTTCTATACCTCTTCGAAGATACATGCCATTGCAGTCCAGCTCATCAAATAGTTACAGTTACCTTAACCATCAACACAACAAAGTGTATAATGAAACGGAAAAGAATGACATATGTGAATACTTTTGTTAGTGCTAGTCATTATTTTCTGTTCATTTTTTTAGAAGCTGTAGATAATTCAAAATTAGTTATTTTAAAATTAAACTTCATCAGGAGATATCGTATAAGCTTGATTTTATAACATTGAACTAAGATTGTAGCTATCATGATTCATGATGTTCCGTAGGCTTATCGCCTGCTGGAACCAACCACTGTACAGATTAACTTCTTCTATATCCATCGGTCTTGTGTCAGATGGAACAAGTCTTGTCTGCTGTATCCACATCAGTCTTTGATGTCGTCCAGCCATTCTCTACATGGACGTTCTTTTCGTGGTTTTCCATCGATCGTTGTGGGTATGGATTTGAATGTGAGTACGAGTTTTCTGATGAAGGCTGGGAGAAAAACTATACTTACACCTGCACACCCATACCTAGATCGTCGCTGACATCATTGTTAGCATTTTAACGCGTCTACCGACATTGCAAACCCCAACTAGAATAAGACACATCAGCAAAAACTCAATCTCGGTTTAATACAAACATAAAACATATCATTTGAATTTAATAGTTATGAATGCTTCATCAAAGCAACAAACAATTATTTCAAGTGATATGTGTCGTTCAAGTAACTTCATTTTTATATTAATTAAATTATCATGTTTAGAAAACCGATTTACATGTAAATTTAATTCTACTTTTTTATTTTACCATTGCATCTCAACAATCGTTCAATCAGGAGTGTCAGATCTAACAAGGAAAGCTCCCGAAGGGATTAAAAATATGAAGGCTTCAGCTAGGCTAGATTGTGTTTTATACAATATATATGAAAAAGTGTCTATATTCTGAGGAATTAATAGCTCGACTATATTAGGTTCAAAAAAATGCGAAAATTTTTTTCCGAACTAGCCTAGCTGAAGCCTTCATGTGGACAAAGTTTCAGGTCAAAATTCGAAAACACGATTTTACTGGAAAATAACATGATTCTATTAGGAAATTTCAGTAAAACTTCTATATCTGACCCAAATGGCAACAAGGACCTATATCCTCTTCGAGTTTTTCTAGTCTATCACTCTCCTACTTATGGACTAAATATAGGACCAAACACTTTTAATCACTTCGAGAGCTTTCCTAATAGGTCTGAAATACTTATGTATATAAAAATCTAACATGTGTTTGACTAACGGAGAAAATTCTCATTAAAAATACCTCGCAGCCCTAGCCGAAATTAAATAGTTAAATTTTTTTGCTTAAGCATTATACTAAATAAATTAGAATTTGATACATATATTTTTAGAAAAGGTTAATCATTTTACTATTGAAGAAGATCACTGAACCATGAAAAAAATGCTAAATTGCTGATCGATGAAGTTAACAGCAAAGGCAGTAAACGCATGAAGAGTCTACGATGAATATCAATAAATTGGTACTAACGATTACTTTTAGCATCAAGGTGTCTAAGAAATACAAAAAAATGGACTATCACTTAATGGAACAGTGCTTAGTTGACTTAATTGTTCATTTTTACTCGTTAAAATCAATTTAATAATCCATATTGTTTCATCTGACGGTTCAATACTTTCAATTTGAAAAATATTGCCTACAGAGAATAGAACTTCATTTTTAGTTTTCAAATAACTTATTGTTTAAATATTAGCAAAAGGTTTAGCCATATTTGTAGTATCAATTTCAATTTCAAATAAAACTGATTCAACAAGTGGATGTCCTGAACCATCGTCAGCAAATGAAAGTGCAAGTGCACTTATTGTTGTTGTAGAAAAAAATGAATTTATTGAAATAAAGTCACCAATATTTTGTTTTAAATTATTGAATTCATCTCTAAACATTGTTTGACTTAGATAAACATATAAAATTTTCATGTAATTTATTTAATTGATTATAAATCTCTTTAATAATAAAACGAAATTTAAAAACTATATCAATATCTTGTAAACAAAAATTTTGATTTAATAATCGATAAAGAAATGAGTCACGTGTGTACCATTCAATAGCCTTTGTTGATGGATAATATTTTTCAAACTCATCAATTTTCTTCAATTTCATTTGATTATCATGATACTTTAATTTACATGTATTGATAAGATCATTCTTAATCCATTCGACATGCTTATCTTTGTAGAAATAATAAATATAAATGAATTAAATTTGTTCGTTTTCATCTATAATTGGAATAAGATTTTCAAATGATGAACCAGCAAGAATAAAAAAGATTTTCTTCGATGATATTGTTGAAAGATAATTAAAACATGTTTTTATATGATTAAATTTTTCTATATGATTCATTAGAGGATTTAATCGAATTTGACGATCTGACGTCAAAATATCTTGTTTATATTTTTTCTTAGTCTCAACATGATTGATATTAACCCGGAAATAACAAAGTTATTTTGACAAGTTTGAATACCTTTTGTTTTTGTGAATGTCAATTTGTTCGATAAAATTTTCTTCGACAAAACTATATATGACCAAAGGAATAGTCGTTTTTTTTACAAAGTTTCTTCGAATTGAAATATAAAGAATGGTTGGTTTTATATATTAAATCGATAACATAAATTATATTTAAGATAACCAACAGATATTATGTAGATTTTCGAGTATTGTTTATTTTTCTTGTCTTTCGCATTAAAATGTATGTTACAGTTGTATTCGAACATTGTTCTCTAAGTGCTTGTTTTTGGCCTA